CACATCTTCTGTTCCCAATCATTAATGTTGGGAATCAAGATGACCTTGAATTGGGGAAACAAAGAATGGGGAGCCTTCCAGAGTTGAGGTGAGGATTGCCATTCTCTGACCAGACTTGTGGCTGGGTTAGGTGACCTAGGAGGAATGCTGGGCTATTTGGCTGGGGTCAGGGTTTGTGGGCCCTGGGAACACAGTCATTAGAGACAAAAGACTGCCATCAGTGAGTTTGGCTATTGGCTACTCTAGTTCCTTCTGGCTGGGATCCCTAGGGCCCTGAGAAGCCCTGAGTATATCATTAGTGGGTTGTGTACCTTGTATTCTGCATGGCTTTTGGGACCCCCCAAGTTAGGTGGGGATCATATGCATCCCTGAGCCTGATGGGATGGGGGGGGGGATTGCCTTCATAGCCGTTGCTTCTGTCTTGCCTGCACACAGTTTTGTGTGTGTTGATCCTTTGTGCCACTGCAGTCTCTGCAGTGCAAGGAGCCCCTGAGGTCTGGCCCTCCTGCCACCCTGGCTCTCCCTCTCTATGTGACCTCGGAGGGCCCTCACCTTCTATACCTGGGACACTTGGGCCAGCTGAGCTTGACAGAGCCTTCTAGAGGAGCATGCATGGGTCTTCCTATATGAGCTGACTCCCTTGGATAGAGGCCAGGGGAAAGGGCTGGAGGGATGTGGCCTTCCCTTGTTTCCTGTGCCTGCTATAGTGGTGGCATCTCCCTAGACCAGTAGATGAGGACAGCTAGATTCCAAAAAGGAGTACCCAACCCGAAGCCCAGTGATGAGAAGAACACCCTGAAATAGATAATCCCAAGAGGGCATCAAGCCTTCAAAGATACCAGGGCCTGGTTTGAGTGGGAAGACCTTAAGTGAACCACTCTAGAGAGAACACCTCTAGCCCAGGAGAGAGCCTTCCTGGCAGCAGAATGACGCTGTCCCCTGGACCATGGACTACAGGCTTGCTGTCTGTGTCAATCTGGCAGGGCGTGGGGTTGTGGAAAGTGTGCTGTGGATCTAGAATGAGTAGATTCTTTGCAGTAGGAAGGCTGTGCAATGCTGCTGGTGTTCAGATGGCTCTCTCTGGGCCTTTTGCCCATGGCCTTGTGCTGATGGCAGTGACAGGGGATGGTGTGGAGGGCGAGGCACACTAATCTCAACTGTGACTCTTGGTGACATCCAGAGAAGAGAGGCATGAGCAGGTGTCTTAGGAAAGAGAGGGGGCCTGGGGGACACATGCCTTCCTCCTAAGTTCAGACGGCATTCTGTGGGGGTTTAGGCTTCCTTCAGTGCATCTGGGTGTGTGGTGGGGACTAGGGATGTGGGATATCCCTGTTGGGTGTTCTAGCCTCTTCTGATCTCCCTTCCCTTTGACTCCTCCTGCCAAAGCAGGAAGATTGAGGGACACCACAAGTTGGGTCTGTGTTCCCAGGCTGAGGCCAGCAGGACAGCTTCTCTCTCTGACCTGCCTTCTCCTTGTCCCTGGCAGTTGTGCTCTGGAGGTGCCATCACAGTGAGCATGATGGGAATGGCATTCTCAGAGTATACAACACAGTGACTGTGCACACAGCTTTGGCCATTTAGTCATTTGTTCACTCATCCCTCTCCCCACCCCCACCCATCATTCTCTCCTTTCCTCCTTCCATCATCCATTTATTTATTTAGTCAGGCCTTTGAGTGTATCCCTGCCTCCCGGAACTTATGGTCCACTGGGGACTTCAGACATTTGTGGATATAATTACAGTAAAGGTCTGTGCAAGCGAAGACAAGAGAACAGCTGCTATGGAAGCACACAGCACGGCGTCCCACCCACCTTTGTCGGCAGGTGTCAGAGATGGCTTCTAAGGCTTCAGAGGAGGAGATGCTTCTATAGGCAACTGGCTGGTGCTCCTTTGGTGGGCTGAGTACAGGGAGTAGGTCTTGCGAGGGGCCCACCCTCTCGAGGGAGCTTTGTCTGTTCTCCCTGCTGTGGAGAAGAAGTGTGTGGGGGTGGGGAGCAAGAGGATGAGGGTGTCTGGCTTGCCAGTGCTGAGGAGGGGCTATCCCCGACTGTCATCCCATTCCTCTGGGTTAAGGAGTCTTCAGTGCCCCTCCACTGCCTGGAGGGCTCCCCCCGCCCCTCCCAAGGCCTGGCTCAGCCTGACCCCTGCCCTCCCACCACACACCACCCATAACCACATAGGGCGCCCTTGGTTGGCCTGGGGATTGTATCTGAAGCCCTTCCCGATGTCTCCTTCCCAACACCTCCCAGATCCCCTCCCTCTGCTGTGCCCAGCCCACCTGGGCGCTCACCATGGAGTAGCTTTGGTTTCTTTCTGAGCATTTTTAAAAAACTATCACATGTTGCCCCATGACCTGTCTGTTGTCTCAGTTATTCTGGATTTTTAAATGTTTATTAGCTTTTTAAGAAACAAAACCCCTAACTGAATTTTAAGCCCCTCAAATGTGAATTTAAGCACCTGAGAGGACTAGATCTTAGTTCCTTTCCCCTTCTCCCCATCTGCAGGAGACTTTTGCTCATTAAATATCTGGATTTAAAAATGATGAGATTATCCTCACTGTTTGATATTTACTGATGGTCCATCAGTAGATTAAAAGTGAGGGGAGTCAAGGCAGTTTGAAGCAGGATTCTTCATCCTGACACCTGCTGCTTTCTCAAGCTAGGAGATTTTTACCAGAAACACTTAAAAATCTTTCACACTGGGTTGAAGCCTTTAGCCTTGGTTGTGCCCAACCCATAGTACATCTCACAGAAGGTGAAATTCTCAAGGGACTCTTATCCCCACCACCTTCTCTAAAGAAATAAGAGAAAGCAGTAAGGCCACCAGAGGTGGGAAGGAAGGGATATGCCCAAATGGGATGTTGCCAGAGCTCACTGCGAGATTGGACATAAATCCAGTTGCTCTGTTCCTCAGTTTCTGGGTCTTGTTTTTGCTCCTCCCACTTTTTTCCTTCCTTTCCTCAGTGTCTGGAATGATGGCGGGGTACCTTGGATGTGGGCCCAGAATGTTGGCTTTATTTGTTTAAAGAGGTGTGCATGAGATGAGAAAATCAGATGAGACGCCATGATGAGAATTAACCTGTACTTGGTAGAAGACAAACGTGGCACCCTCCATGCTAAGGGTCAGAGACAAGAGAACTAACCAGAAGAGAGAAATGAGACCGTTAGATTATGTTCTGGCTATGCAGATGTAATAGTACTGTCTTTTTTGTGATCCCATTATCATTTGCAGCCCCCAAATTATAATGAATCCCACTAAAATACAACAAAATAATCTCATTGTCCTTTTTTGCTTATAACATCCATAAACTCAGCCAATGAATATTTAACTTGGTAGGTGTTACCTTGACCTTGCAAACTCCTTGGGGGCAAATCTGAGGGTGGTACTATCTGTGTCCCATCCAGGCTGTGAAGTCTCTCTGTCCTTTGCACTCTGTGTCTTGCGCTGTTGCTGAATGAATGAACCATTGAATGTGCAGTGCTGCCTGATCTTAATGTAATGACTTAAAGAAATTATTGGGCAGAACCATTGATCAAGGTGAGAAAAGATTAGAGTAAAAAGCAAAATCCATAGACATCAGAGGTGAACTGCTAGAAAAACTGTGCTGGGCATTTTCTCAACTGTCCACTATCATCCTTTTCCATTTCTCAGCACAGAGAAGAGAAGATGGGGGAGGTTGCCAGGGAGAAGTATCAGACTCACGTTGAGATGGGCAGCTTTGTTAGAGCCAAAAAGGCCCCAGGAAATGGGGCCCCAGGCAAGGCCTGAGGGCACTGAGGCATAGGCCAGTCTCTGCTGCTTGGGACTCAGAAGGAGAGGAGAAAGATTCATAACACCTATAAACTCCTAGGGGTTCTTTATTGTATCTTAGGGCTTGAAATTTCCAGCTTTCCTTTTTATTTTCATAACTTTTGTCCTAAACTAAGTGGGATCTTGTTTTAAAAGTAAACGTTCACTGCTATGAGTACTTTGTCATTTTGGTGAAGTGATTTATTTTTAGTAGAAAAACAGATTTATTCTGGTCTCTTGGTAACAAGACCAGTGGGAGCCCAGGTGACTCAATCACGTGTCCTGGGCCAGGCACCACCTGTTCCCAGGTGGGGGCCTACCCAAGGGACAGGGCAGGGTCCAGGAAAAAACAGATGATATCCTGCTCCTGAGGGCAGAAAAGAGCCTTAAAAGCAAAGGTTACTTCCAGGAAATGCATTAGAACACTGGCCACCTGATGCCCCATAGTTGCTGTGGGTAGTGGGCCAGGGAAGAAGGAAGACTTCAGTTGTGTGCGTTCTGTGATAGAAATCACAGCTTTCTTCCAAGAGCTGGATGGACAGTTGGGGAAAGGGCATGATGCCTTAGTGGGATTTCCCCCAGAGAAAGGGACTTCCAGCATTAAGTTAACCAGCTCACCCAGCTTCCCCTGTGGCTGGAGATGAGGTGTGAGGGCAGGTCACAGAGGCTGGCCATGAGCTGGGGCTTTATTCTGAGGGAAGTGGGGAGCTGGTGGAGGATCCTCAGCTGGGGAATGGCTCAGTCACATCTACACCTAGGAAGGATTGTTTATTCTAAGGTTTGGAGAGGATGATGGGAAATGGAGCTAACCTTCCTGGGTTTCCGTGTTCTTCCTCCAGTTAACCTCAGATGGCATTTAAGAATACACTCTATGCCCTAGGCTCCACACAGGGCACTTTTCTTTCCGGCATCCTGTGATAGATGTGAAATTCTCCTTGTTTTGCATGTCAGGAGACAGGGGTTCAGGGAGAGCACGTCATGGCCACAGACTTACTGCTAATGTGAACCTAGTCCTTGAACCCATAGTCCATGAACCCAGGTCACTATGAGAAGCACATAGTGATCTGTTAGACCTCATGCCTCAAAGGCAGGCTCAGGCCCTGTTGTGGGGAAAAGAGGACAGAACACTGAGGCCTTATAGACAAGAGGTCTGCCATAAATGTCTCCTTGGGAATCATGTGCCAAGCTCTTTGCTGAGGAATGGATCACAACATGGGGGTGGGTGGGAGGAGGTCTTTGATTCCCTTAGGCTGGTGAGAGGGCACTGGGGCCCTGAGCAGAGAGGAGGGCAGGGGGATAGCTCTAAGAAGCAAGCAGTCTCTCCAATCTGATTGAGCTGGATTGCATATCAGACACTGCATTCTTACATAGAATGAACTGCTTATTTGGGGTGGTTTGAAGGGAGTTGGTTGGAGAAGATGTGGGGCAGTTAAAGCCTTCCCAAGTCAGTCCTGCACACCATGGACAAGATGTCATCTGGGTTCTAGCTGAGAACTAAATCCTAGGAAGGGAAGAACCAATCAAACTAAGTGGCTGGTTCCCACCTGCTCTGGGGTAACCCTTCTCCTGGCCTCATCCTTCCTTCAGGCCTGGAGATATCAGGGCCCGGAGACCCTGATTCTGTTTGGGGTCAACCACCAGCAGCCTCTGTGGTTGGATAAGCCCACGGTGTTCTCTGGCTTTCTCAATATATCCTCGGAAGCTGCTGGATGGATGACCACTCAGGCTGATGGAGCTCTAACTCTGGTCCTGTAATTCACAGCTAGCTCAGGGTATGATGCCAAGTCAGTAACACTCTCAGCCTGGAGATTGCATTGCTGGCTAGAGAGGTCAGAGAAACTGCAGAGATGAAGGCATGTAATCAGGGCCTCTGCTAATTATATCCCCCCAAACTCCCCTGGACAGTCCCAGTGCAGAGTCCTCTCCAGTCTGCTACCTCTTTTTCTGGGAGGCATTCTTGGCCCTCTTCCCTGGTGTGCCCCCAGGGCTCTGTGGCTCCTCTCTTCTGACGGTGTGTTTGACTCAGGTTGCCAGGCAATCGGGATGGGGCTATCCTGCCCTCCCTGCTGGCGGGCAGTTATTCCATACCGAGGACCTTTGGTGAGGACAGCAGAACAGGTGACAGCTCCCAGGTACCCCTACTCCAGGATACTTCTTTCTGCAGCCAGGTGGGTGTGTGGTAAGCAGAGAGGGCTGGGAAAGGGCTGGCACCAACAGGGGTGTGCAGTCACCCCACCAGACCAGCCCCAGCTCCTGCTCCAGCACCATCACTTACTGGTGCTCCTAAGCCCTGCACTTCTGCCCCAGCCCCACTTCTCACTCTCTGGGTGGTGCTGGGATATAACAGGACCACCCTGTACTCATTTTTCTCATCAGACAGCAGGGCAATCCTTACCTTGTTGAGGTTGCATGAAGATCTAATACATCAGTACATGGCGCACGGTGAATGCTCAAGTGATAGGTAATTTTGTTAATGAAACAGTGACAGCAATCCCTCCTTTTATAGATGAATGAGAGAGAAGTAGGGTGGAGGTTTTGAGAATCACCCATTGGTCCTCTCGTGTAGTGAGCTGCATAGCCTACATCCTTGTGATCTGATGAGTGGAGCTGTGTACCCATTTTATAAACAAAGAAAGTGTGTCTCGAAGAAGGAAAGACTTTAGCACAGATTGCAGGACCCAGAACGGTTACTGCTAACTGGGAGGAGCTCCCAGGCCTCTGACTCCCTGGTTGGCATTTTTCCACTGCCCGTCCCAGCAGAATTGGGACAGATTCACCTAGCCTTGCTCTGCTGGGCCCCCACAGCTGCTCCCAGGAAGAGCACCTCATCTTCACGGCTCTGTAACTTCCCCAAGGACAAGGAGTGCAGCCTGGGTAGACCACAGGGGCTGAGGCTTTGCCATGTTGTGATTAGAACAGTGCTTGGTGAGGTAGGCAGGTGATAAATCTCAGCCAGTGTTAATGTGACTATTAAAGCACACAAGCAAGGCTGTGGGTGTGGTCTGCTGGCGGAGTCAGGGAAGGCTTCCCAGAGGAGGTTTTGCATAGTGAGAGGGAATTCATAGGCACACAAGGGAGGCATCTTGAGGGGAGGGCCCAACTATGCCAAGGTTGGGGGCTGGGAGGGGCTTGGAGCTTCTGGGGGAATTGGGTGTAGTTCAAGGTGACTGGACTCTGGCGTAGGTGTGGGAGGTGAGGTCGTGAGCATAGTTAGAAAAAATCATTGAACCTGGAGAAGTGGGCAGGTTCAGGCCTCAGAGAATCTTGCTTCTACACACAGGGTCTGTGTCTTCCCTGCAGGCAGTGGGGACCCCCGGGTGGTTTTGACCAAGGAGGGACATGCTCATGGATTAGAAGACAAAGATGAATATGGCCTGATTGGAGGCAAGAGATGCAGGCAGCCTGAGCCAGGCCATGCAGGGAACAGTCAGAGAATGGAACACAGAGGAGGGTTTGTGAGCCTGAGCTTCCAGCTCTGAGATTTAGACCTCTGGGTACATAGATTTTATTGGTTCTTTCTCTATGTGGTGAAAACTTTGGGGCAATGAAGGGTTGTAGGGGAGGAGCTCCTGTCCTTCTCTACAAGGCCACGCTGTACTCAGATGTACCCAAACTGGCCTCCTTGAACTCCTCTGTCCTTCCTGCCTCCACAATGCCCTGGGTCCCCTGACTGCTTCTGTCCGCCAACGGGGTGCTCCAGGGCTGCTGGCTGCCCTTCCAGACTCTTCCCCTCTGCCACCTGCTCAGGTTGGTTATTAGATAACTGTACCCCTAGCCTCCTGGTCTTTGGGTATGTGAACTTGTCTGCCTCTCTGGTCATTGGGTGTGTGAGCTCCCCTGGTCCTTTGTGCAGCCTCTTATCACTCCTTCCCTTTCTGGGTTCCTCTTCCAACAGATGCTTGACCCACTGTCTTTGCTTTCTCCCATGGATTCCCTTGCTCTTCTCTGATGAATTCTAGCTCCCCAATAAGCTTAGGGGCCTGTGAAAACTTGAGGGAGGGCAGCATTATATAAGGGAGAGCCCCTCTCCCTCACTTGGAGACAGAAACCCAACCTCAAGTGGCTGCACAAAAAGTGAATGGCAAGAGCCGGGGAGCCAGAGTAGAGGCAGGGGACTGCCATCCTGAACCCAGCCCTAGACCAGAGAGGGCAGCCTGTTCAGGTCAGTTGATGCAGTCCCCCACCCGTGGGTCAGCTCATGGTCTGTTCTCAAGGACTGAAACCTCACCCTGCAAAGCCCTGGTGACCCCTGCTCCCTGTCCCTCCTGTCTTCTGCTCAGGTGGTGCCCATGCACGTTACTAAGCACCCAGCTGGGTATTCCTTTGTCAGTGTGGCTAGTGAGTGAAGAATATCCTAATTGTCAGTAATCAAGCACATTTTAGTCACTGCCCATGGCCCCTCTGAGCGGTGCCAGATTAATCATCTGAGGTCACAGTGGGTAAGGAGACCCGTCCCCTTGCTTGGTGCTCAGCAGAGGTGTAACCCTTGCCTGGAGTTGCTGGCCTGGAGAAAAATAGACCCCGAAGCTGGCCACAAGCAGCTCAATGCAACCTTGACCATTTGAACCCCTTCTGGTTCCTCCATTGCCCGTACCCCTGGGGCAGAGGCAGGACCAAGAGACCCATCCCTGGTTCAGGACTGAAGAGCTGTGATGGTGGCCTCCACACGAGAGACAGGTCCCACTGAGGATTGTGTGCTACTTTGGAGACGTGGAGAAAATGTTCTGTTCTGACCCTGTTGATGAGCAGGGAGTAAACACTGTGCAGAAGAGATTAAGTGAAGCATTTAGAACAAGTGTTTCTTGTTTCCCCATCCAGTGAAGGGAGAGGGCTAGGAGGACAGAACGGGGAAGGGAGAACCATGGAAGTGCTGAGATGGGGAAGGGACGTGCTCTCACCAGACACAGATGGACCTAGGTGTGCCAGTCACAGGGCTTGTGGGCCAGCACTGGTGCCTTGGGAAAACCAGGGTGGTTTGCAGCTCTGGGCGGCAGTGCTGTGCATCCCAGGTTCTGTCCAAATAGAATGGAGGGCTGGAGGTTCCCGTGGAGGCACTGGTGTGTGCTGGGTACAGGAGTGAGGGGACCCATTCTGTGTTCGGGTCGAGGACAAGGTGAGGAACCAGGGCTGTGGCTGCTGCTGTGAGGAGGGTTGAGGACTGCCAGCCAGGTAGAGCCGGAGTGGAGAGAAGGGCTCTTACCTTGTCCTGGGGGATGAGAGAGGATGTTCAGCAGCACCAGTGCTCCAGTGCTGGGCTTCAAGGAGCAGACACAGTTTTGTCCCTCCCTCCCAGAGTCAGGTAGGCTCTGCCCCACTGGGACCCTGCAGTTCCCAGCTCAGGCGGCTGTGAGTAGGGTCAAGTCTTGGGACCAGGAGATGTTTGTTTAGTTCTGCTCTTCTCTGAGTAGAGAGCACCTCTGAGAAGGTTTCTTTTTAGGGAGAAAAAAGGCTCCTCCCAAATTAGTCAATTTTTATGATTGAATACCTGTAGCTCCAGGATCCAGTTCTCTGATTCCAGTTAAGTCTCCCCTCCCTTCCCCCACATCCAGCCAAAGCACTGCAGCTGCTGCCAGATCGGAAGATAATACAGTCCTGAAAAAGTGCCCAGCTAACCTCCCACCTTGGTTCTCTCACATTTACGTCAGAAGAGGGCAGAGCCCAGCTCTCTCCTGCCTCCATCATGCAGCAGAAGGGCCACTCAGCAAGCGTTCTGGTCTGGAGAGCTCATCCATCCACCTCAGCTTGGGGAGGGCTGGATGTGATGTGAAAGAACTGTGCAGAGCAGTGTGCAAATGCACGATGTAGTCGACACAACAGGGGCCCGGCTTTGCCCCCATCCCCCCCAGCCTCTGTCCCAGGCCATCTTTTAGCTTCTGCCTTGAGGCAGAGAGACCCATGAGATTCTGCTGCAGGTGACCAAGCCACCTCACCACTATAGGAGAGGAAGCAGAGACTGAGTGAAGAGTAGAGGTGGTGTCTCTTAGGAACGTGTAAATGGTCGCGGCAGATGCAACCTCAGGTGATGCCGAATGAGTCATGCCCTTGCATAGCACTCCCCTTGAATGCACATGGAAACTGAGGCTTGCCTCTGGCCAGTATGGTATGGCAGAGGTGATGGGTGTCCCTCCCATGGTTATTTCTGCAGAAGACCCCTCTTGCTGGCCTTGAAGACATGAGCCGCCATGTGTGAGAAGCCCTGTGAGGGGTCATGTGGCAGAGAACTATGGGTGGCCTCTAGGAAATAAGAGTGACCTCTGGCTCGCAGCCCCACCAAATTGGAACAAGCCACAAGGAACTGAATTCTGTTAACAATCACAGGAGCTTGGAAGAGGATGCCAAGCCCCAGAAGGAAGTGTAGCCTTGCTGATACCATGATTACAACCTTGTGAGTCCCTGAGCAGAGGACCCAGCTAAACCATGCCCAGACTCCTGCCCACAGAAACTGTGAGATAATCAGTGTGTGTTACTTTAAGCCGCTAAGGTTGTGGTGTTTATTACACAATAACCAATAACTACTACAGATGGGGTGAAGATTTTCCAGGGAGCAGACACCTTAGCGATGCCTTTGTTTTGCAGACAAGGAGTTAGAGCATCTAGGAAGGGGCCAGGACCTGCCCCAGGTTAAGCAGCTGGCTGAGGCCACCCAAAGCAGATAAGAGGGAGGCCCCTGGGAGTGGGGTCCTGTTTCCTGCTCTGCTCTTGCTCTTAATTCATGTGGCCTTGAACAAGCCCTCTTGCTCCCTGGGCCCCCAGTTTTCCTGTCACATGCTGCATCATGTCACATGTCAGGACTGGATCAGACTTTTATCTAGCTGCTTTTTTGCCATGACTTGGTATTTTGCGGCCACTCAGATCTGTATTCCTTCTAGAACCCAGGCTTTTGTGCCTTAGTGCAGTTTACTCTGTGCTGCTCCTTGGCACTTCCTGTGTTGCGTGTTGCTACTGGGACTTTAGGAGGCTGGATCTCCTTGTCCTGAGCACACTTTGGAAAGGCTTATGGGCTCAGAGAAACCTCTGAAGTGGAGATCTGACTGTGAACCAGGAGAGATCCTGTCTGACCATGACCCTGGTGCTCTATGATTCTGGGCAGGTAGCCCCCTTCTCTGACCTCACATCTCCTCAGCTCAGTGAG